TGATAGATGGTCAGATTAGTTGTTGATCACTAGTAAAACACAATATTTATTATTGTTATATCTTCTAATCAATAACAACGAGTAAGAAGAAATGAAATATTTGTTAATCATTATGAAATATAATTCAATATAAAATTCTATGTAAATGTAATGATACAAGTTTGGAATAGTTGATTTGAAAAGAAATGAAATGAAACCTACGAATATGTTGTTTAATATGATAGTTATTAAATAAATCTGAATGATTAATTAATATTAATGGTAAAAATCGATTATTTAAATTGATTTGATTATTTAATCAATATTCTTTTCTTATATTATTTTCACTTTTTTTTAAACAATTCGATAATGATAATGATGATGATAGAATTGATCGTTCTTTTTTTCAATTGTTTATTAAATGATATCAACCGTTTTTTTTATCTATTAGATAATTCTATAACACTTCATATAGGATCATTATTATTGATTGATCAATTGATTATTGATGATCTCATTATTATTTTCATTTAATATATTTAGTAACGATGATAGACAGTCTTGTTCGATTTGTTATATGAATGGAGATTTTTGTTAACCAATTGAATAAATCAAAATTGATTGTGTGGATATAACTATAGTTACATAAATGAGATATGGCGATGAAGAAAGAAAAAAATAAAAAATAAAAAATAAAAAATAAAAAAACAAATGCTTATACTCGACTGGTCATATGTATTTGATAAAGAACAACAAATTGATTTATATATGTGGATTGATAGTATACCGTTGACTAAATTAAAAACAAAAATTGAAAAAGATTTTTCTGATGGAGGTATTTCTCTTTATGGTTAAGATTTTCTTTGAATTTGAATGATAATTCTGTTTGTTCATCATCTTCTTCTTCTTCTTCTTCTTCTTTCAGATCTTTATTCACAATTCTTTTCTTTGTTTTGGTTTTTTTCTTTGGAGATTTTTCTTTTTGTTTTGGTTTTTTCAAGAAAAAATGTCTTGGGATATTGAATTAGATGATCAATTATTACAAGATCTTTATGCATGGATTGATCAAATACCATTAAGTCGACCAAAAAAACGTATTGAAAAAGATTTTGCTGATGGTGGTAAGCTTTTTAGTTTTATTCTTTATATCTTTATTTCACGTGTTTTATTTCTTTTCTTTTTATCAATAATAAATAAAATTATTTCATTTTTTTTTTTTTTAAATTGATTATTTTATTTTTAGTTATGGTAGCTGAATTAATCAAATATTATTTTCCTAGTTGGGTAAACGATTTTCAAAAAAAGAAATTATTATTTTATTTAATAGATTTATTTTCATTTTTATAGGTGGATTTACATAATTATGCAACAGCCAATAATACACAACAAAAATTAATTAATTGGGGACTTTTAAATAGGTAAATAAACTTGACTAGAATATATTTCATTTTATTTTATTTTCATTTTTTTCGTTATTCACTTTATATAAAATAATTAATAGTTTTTATTAAAAACAATTGAAAACAACTAAATATATTTATCATTTATTATATTCGAAAGATTTCTTTGAAGATAAAATATAATAGGAAAATAATTTTCAAATTTTTCTTTCTTTTATAACGATCGAAAATACTGTTAAGAAGTTTAATGACGATTTATTAATATTAAATAAAACTGTTTAAGTATGTTACAATCAGAAAATAAATTAAAAATCGTTTCAATATTTGAAATATTTTCCGATTTTCTTAAATAATGTTTGTGTCTTGTTTGAGTATACTTTTATATTCTATTCTTCTAAGATAATTTTTATTTATTTTAAATCAAATTTCATCGATGATAATTATCAACAATCTTTTTTTATTAAATAATAAATATCAGAGATTTTTATATTATTTACTTTTTAATAATAGATTTTATTAAAATTATATTTATAACTTTGTTAATAAATATATTGAAAAGATATTCGACTTATGATAAAGATAAAATATAAGAAAAATTCGATATTTTGTATTTGAACAAAAAAACATAATGAAGAAAACTATTCAACATCTAGACATTTGTTTTTATTGAATCATATTTCATCCGATAGAGTATATTTAGATAAGATGATCAATAGATCGATTTCGATCGATTATCTAATAGTGATACACCTACTTTAGTTTTACTTAGAGATAGATTTTATTTTAAAACTAATATTAACAGTTTTAACTTGAAATTGTCGTTAGAAATCTATATTATACTCATAAGATAAGTCGAAAAATTTCATTAAAAATTAAAATATGTTTGTTGAGCTACTCGATTTGACATAGAGTTCAAATATGATATTGACATATCAACTTTATCCATCATCATGTTTAAATTGTCATTGATTATCGGTATTAAAATCGATCTTAGATGTTAACTTTATTTGATAAAACTATTGATGAGTTTATTTTATATAAAGTATTATGAAAAAATTTTCAAATTTCTATGATGAAATTGATTTTAACAAAAAAAATATTGAATAATTTAGAAAAATCTTCTGTCGATTTGGTCTTAATGTATCTGAAGATATAATGCGTGGTATATGTCTTGGTCGAGCTGGACTTATTGAAATATTTCTTTACAATTTACGAACAAAAATAGATGAGTATGTTTCATTTTAACTATTATATTCAATTTTATTTTACAATTTAATAATCATTCTTTATATAAATAATTATTATTTTAATTATATTTATACTCTTTCAGTTATCTTTATGGAATGGAAACAAATCCTACTGATCCTCAAGATCGGTTTGTTTTTTTTTCTTTAAATATTTTATTAGAATTTGTTTGTTAATATCAAGTAACAATTTCTTTCTGTTTTTTTAAAAATTTTAATAAGATCTACTACTAATCAAAAGTTAATACTAGTAGTAGTTTATTTTACAGAATTAATTATTTAATTTATTTAATTAGAATAAAAACTCTTTTTATTATTATTTTAATTTAGTGTTCTTCATCAAAAATCTAAAACAAATCAATCGAATAAAATAACACCTCGACAACGTCAACTATATTCACCACCACCTCAACAAAGTAATTTTTATATAAATATATTCATCAAAACATTTAACTTAATTAATTATATAACTAATCATATCATTTAAACAGAATAAATACTCTCAGAAATATCTTGTTTTACTGGTATTATCTAGATTCGAATTTACTCATATAATAATCTTCCTATTCGAGAAATAAATATTATTTTATATCTATAAGATATTGGTTAACTAAGTTTTTTCAATAAATAATCCTGATATATAGTATACGTTTTTGAGTAAGATCTTATTCTTTCTCAGAGTAATTCAATAGATAATAGACATATTTTTAGAAAAAATTATTAGATTTTATTTCCGAATAAGTGAACATATATTTATATACAAAATTAGAGAATTTTTTATCAAAAAAAAAAAGGTAATCAATATTGTCGCGTAGGTCAAATAATATTTATTTATTAGAATGATGAGATCACCAATAATCAACATTAATAGCAATTGTTAATTCTTCTTTCATTTATCATTTTCTTTAATAGAACCTGACAAATTTATGAGAAATTCTATCGAAAAAATATCATTTTTATTATTAATATAAAATATAACAAAGAATAATATATAAAAATAAAACTAAAGACGATTTATAGTGATATACTACATTATTCAAATAAAATTTTTAATCTTCATTTATATAAAAAATAATTTCAACTTCATCGAACAAACTACACTGAATATATTACTCATTGATTAAACAAGAACAATATTTTAACGATGATTCAAGATGAATATTAGTTTAGTAAGCCATTAAATATTCTTATCCTATAAAAAACGCCTCCTTATCCGCATATCAATATGTGAAATAATCTAAAAAATTTTCTTACCGTTCGATCTGCTATTATTAGTTCTACTAATCAATAAAAGACAACCATCAATATATTGCGGTATCTCAAAGAACCACCGGTATAACATACAGTAGTTCAATTAAATATACGACATGGTTTAACATATAACATTATTGAGAAATATATAGGAAAAATCCTATTTTATATATTCCTTCTTGTTGAGTAAATATACTATAAACTATATGAAAATAAATATTTTAATTAAATTATTGTTGGTAGTTGTTTAAATGTATATTCTCTTTTTGATTATTCTTTGTTTTTAGATTCAGTATCAAAATCTCGAATACAAGGTGGAAAGTAAGAATTAATATTTTTAATTTAATTAAATATTTGTAAGATGATATTAGTATTAAAAAAAAATCTGAATCAATGCATAATTTAAATCGAGATATGGTTAGTCGTATTGAATATGATGAAAAAGAACAAGAATGTCTTGCAAAAGAAGAACAAATTCAAGTAAATATTGATTATTATCATCAAATTTATATTTTTTATTTATTCAAGATTTTACAAGCAAAAATTCGTCGACTTGAACATTTACTTCATTTAAAAGATATTCGAGTTGATCATCTATCAGAAAAAATTGATCGAACACGAGTTTTACCAGGTGCTAATGGTGGAGTATCAACTCGTCCTCAACGAACACATATGCCTTTTAATGGACCTAAATAATCTATATATATATATATTTATATAGATGATGCTTAGGATACTCAATGCTGTTTTATTTCTTCATATATATATTTGTGTCTCAAGTAAAATATATTTCTTTTCTTTATGGATAAACAAAAGAATATATTTCGAATAAGTTTATAAATATTCTTAATTGAATATATTTATTTCGAATTATTGATAAAATACTCTATGTGTATTTGAAATTGTTTTAAGTGAAAATAATAAAAGCTTTGTTTTGTTTGACTTTACTTTTTTCAGTAGTTTTTAATAATTGTCAATATTTTTATGTTATTTATTCAATGTTTTTTAATTGATTATCGATTTTGAAATCAATCTATTATCATTAAAAATGACATATTTAACTATCTATCATAAACGAATTCAAAAAAAATCTTTCAACCTAGAATAATTAATCACAGAATATTTTATCAGTTAAATATCAGTCATACTCAAAAACAAATATTATATATATATATATATATATATGTTGAATACGATAAAAAAAGAATCTATGATAGATATCATTTCAATATTAACCCATTGGATCCGGGCGACGAAAATTCTCGTCCTGAGACTTTTCGTTCTGAATAACTTTGAAAAACATGATCGTTTGGTTATTTAAAGCTGTGGATTGTATGAATATTTATATTTCGGATATTTGTACGGTAAAGATTGTCTATACTTACTGATGATTACTGATTGACTTTTAACCCTTTGAGTTCGAGATTATTTTTATATAGTATAAAGGACCCGAGTAGGTTGATAGGCGAATCAGGCCTACAATAAGTTTTCGATTCGAAATCTCAACTATATTATACCAAATGAAAGAGCCTAGTGAGTTGTGCATTTTTTGTGACGGAACTTGATCTTTTAAATGAAACTATGAACAATTTCCAATAAGCTAAATTGTAAAATTTCAGTCATTTTAGTCGTTGACATCCTCAGAACTTTCCATGGTTTCATTTAAAAGGTTGGGTTCCGTCACAAAAAATGCTCAACTCACGAAGCTCTTTCGTTTGGTATAATATAGTTGGAGTTTCGAATCAAAAAAATTTTCTAGGGCTGATTTGCCTACCAACCTCTCTCGTTTTTACTACATAAAAATAATCCCGGACTCAAATGGTTAAACAATTAGAAAAACTAGGCTAATAAACGTTTTTTTTCTTTCATAAATGGTATATATGTCCTATTTAAGAGAAAAGAAAATATACCCGTGTTTCATTTAACTTTCATTCTTTATCAGAGTTTGTTTTATCAATAAATTCTTTTACATACCATAGACATACTTATCTGACTATTTTTTTTAATTAATTAACAACCAATTAGCAAATACTTCTTTAACCATACGAGAAAAAAATTCGAAAAACTTTCGGATAGACTCTACAAGACAACAATATTGCATCTATTGTTAAATTTTCAGCAAAATTGGACTCGAAAAAAATTCCTCTAGAAAATGATGTGTTTCTAGTAGAGACCCTATCAACTGATCAAACAAAAGATTTTTTCATATTATCATATAGAGATTTCGAGAAAGAATTTTTACCATTTAGAATTACTTTCGAACTTGTTATTCAATTCTAAAAGCATTTATTTGTTTTTTTATATCTGCACTCCATAATGTCACTAACGAAAGACAAATTGATTTTTTTTTGAAAAATCTTTCCATGCCTAGAATATATTTTCCATAAAGATTTTTTATCTTTATGAGTTGTCTAGAGAATTGTTTATTTTCTTCGAAATTAAATTTCAATTAGATTCTAAACTATACTCTTCGATTTGAGAGAATAACTTTTATATATGTTTACTGATAGATAAACAGTTCATTTAATAAAAGAATAAATTTATTAGATTTATATATTTCTTTCTCTCTTTTCGTTTCATTCTATATTGCAATCTTTACTAATACAAATTCAAACATCAACAATTATATCGAAAACAAAACAAAACAAAACCGGTATATAACAACACTCTTCAATTAACGAGAAAGAGAGAGAGAAGTTATAGCAACAAACAATAAGAGAAAGAAAAAAAAAAGAAATCTACATATATTTGACAAGACGGCATCATTAAAAAATAAAATCTTTTTTTTTTGTTGGTTATTAATTATGATTTGGTTGTTAAAAAAAATGTTTTGAATGAACGTTTAGCTTGATTATATTTAGATAATGATTGTGTTGATGAAATTGTAGATCGATTATTGTATAAACTTTTATTTAATGTTAAATTATTATTTATTCCTGATTTAAATTGATCATCTAGATTAATATCTATATTTAATAAATTTAAATTAATTTAATATTTTCATTTAATAAAAGAAAAAACAAATGTTTTACCTTGATGTAAATCTTGATCAATAGATATTTGTTTATTTAATGATCGAAAAAAAGATTTCTTATTATTTATTTTTGAATATTGACATTTTTTAACTAAAATAAATTTTGAATTAGTTGATGTCCATAAACGTTGAATTTCATATAGATTTTCTTGATCATTTATTAAACGACGTTTTATTGGTATTCGACTATTTATTTCATTTAGATTTATTTCTTCAACAAGACCATAATCATTTGATACACCATTTAGATAGATTTTTCTCATTAACTAAATTAATTCAATATTTTATAGATTTATTTATTATTTTTAATTAAAATAAAATTACTTGTGTAATAAGATGATTAGCAGTTGAATTAATTGGTATTCGAAAACTAATATGTTTTTCTATAGATGATATATTATAGATAGTAACAACAAATGTTTCATCACTATTTTCCCAATTTTCATTATTAAATCCTGAATGTAAGAAATGCTAATCAAACAAATAAATTAATTATTTTTATTTAAATTTTTTGAAAAAAAAAAATAAATAAAATGTTGATTAATTGCTTACTGATGTTTGAGTTTTTTTTTTACATAGAATAACTGTTTCTCGACCAACACGATCGATTACTTCAAGAATTCGTTCATATTTTTCAAGTATTCGAGGTGATATATCAGTATGTTTTGATGATGAACCTTTTTTTTTCCATGTTTTTGATGATTCTGTTAATATAATATCATTTATTGTTTCATCAACTTTAATAAAATCATTTGTTTTAGCTATCTAAAATTTTTAATTATTTATTATAAACAATAATTAGATTTATTTATCAATAATACCATTTCGATAAGTTCTTCAACAGTTGTATATTGTGTTACAGCAAATGATCGAAATTCTTCATCACGTCCATCTTTACCATAAACTTTAACTTCAAATCTTTTATGTTTAGGTTGAATTGATTCACGACTTGTCTATTTATATATTAACAAAAAAATAAAAATAAAAAAAATAAAAAGAATTTCTTTCTACATACACCAACAATCTCAGCTGTATCAGGTGTTCGTCTTAATATTCTATTACGAAATAAATGTGGAGTATTTGATGTTGATATATCTGTTTCTGAACTACGAATTAATATTGTTTCACTTATTTTCGAATAAATAAATAATGTTGTTAATTCTAATGGAATATTTGTTGGATCTCTTAAACGAACATGTCGATAACCAGGTCGAAGACATTTAACAGGCATTACACGTTGACATATTAAATGATTACTTCCACTATCGTATACATTAAAACGTATAAATGATAATTCGATCAAGAACAACTAAATATTTATTACAAACAAATAACACAATCAGATTTTATATTTCGAAATAATTAATAGATAATTTATTCAGATTTTCGTAGATGCACTATTACACAACCGTACTTCCCTATATTCTAAACAGTCTCATATTCAATTTTTAGACTGCTTGACGGGTGATCGAACAATTTGTCGCACGAACAAAACGTCGTAGGGACAAAATGTTTTAAGGACAAGACGTTGTATGGACGAAACGTCGTATGAACAAAACGATACAACATTTCATTATGGTAGATATTTCTATATCTGAACACGACTTCATAAAGTATGATGTAAGAGTGCAGAGGTACACAATGTAGGTATATCATATCGATTAAACTCGGAAGATATACTCATACCCTAAAATCCATACTCTTAGATTATACTCTAACAAGTCGACTTTAGATATAGAAATATCTACTATAATTAAACATTTGAGCGTTTCGTCCATGCAAAAAATTCTCCTGCGACGGTCTCTTCTCAACTTCGAATAATTTCTGATCGGAAACTGTTAAACATTTGTGAAAATTTGATGAAATTCTAATAGAGTAAAATATTTATCTGATATTTGATATAAATTCTATTAAATGAAAGAAGGATTTTATGGACAATAATTTTAAATATAAGATAAGTCATTCAAAAATTAGAAAAATTAGAAAAAAATTTTTTTTTTTGTTTTTATTAATTGAATCTATATAATAATAAAACTAATAAATATTTATATAATACCTGAAATATAAATGTTTCTTGCCAAATAGGATTTAATGAATTTTTAACTGATGGTTTAGTTTTTCTTGATAAACAATCAATTGGAATACCAATAAGTTCAACTTCAATATAAACACTTGTTGTTGAACCAGTATTTTGTGTCAAATATTGACCAGATATTATCTAAATAAATTAGTTTTATTTATAAATATTTTGTTAAATTCTAATTAAACAAACTGTTATTGTTAATTCTAAACAAGAACCTTCACGTTCGATAATAGATGGATTAAAACGATTATATTGTGGATGTTCTTTATCCCAATAAACATTTGGCTTAAGAACATAACCACAATTACCATTTTGTTCAAACATTGATAAATTAAGAATTTGTCCAGCATCTTAATAAGAAAAATTCACCTTTTTTTTGTTCCTATGTAAAAAAAAAAGATTGATTTATTTACCTAATGTTTGATAATTTGTTGCAGCCAATCTGAAAGTATTTATATTAAAAAGAAAGATATATAAAATTTTTTTTAAAAAAGTGTAATAAATACTGAATTCCATATGTCCATAAATGTAATGGATTAAAATTGGATGAATCAACACGAAATCCACTTGGATAACATC